CGTCGACGGTGGCGTCTGGCTCCAGGGCTCCAGCATCTGGTTGCGACAACCAGGTAGAAGGGAAAGGGGAAAAGAGGGAGAAAACCAACCGTGAGTACTCATCCAAAGTACTCGCAAGCAAGGAGCTACACTACATAGGCATGGGTATATGTGTAAAGGGCCATATCGGTGGACTAAACTGCAGAATGCCAGAATAAAAGGGGGATAGCTAATCCTGTCGAAGACAACGCTTCTGGCAGCCTCCGTCTTGCAGCATGTAGAAGAGAGTAGATTGAAGTCCTCCAAGCAGCATCTCCAAGTAGCATCTCCAAGTAGCATCTCCAGTAGCATCGCATAGCATAATCCTACCCGGCGATCCTCTCCTTGTCGCCCTGTAGAAAAGCGATCACCGGGTTGTCTGTGGAACTTGGAAGGGTGTGTTTTATTAAGTATCCGGTTCTAGTTGTCATAAGGTCAAGGTACAACTCCAAGTCGTCCTGTTACCGAAGATCACGGCTATTCGAATAGATTAACTTCCTTGCAGGGGTGCACCATCTTACCCAGCACGCTTGATCCCATTTGGCCGGACACACTTTCCTGGGTCATGCCCGGCCGCGGAAGATCAACACGTCGCAGCCCCACCTAGGCACAACAGAGAGGCCAGCACGCCGGTCTAAACTTAAGCGCACAGGGGTCTGGGCCCATCGCCCATAGCACACCAGCACGTTGCGTACGCGGCCGAAAGCAGACCTAGCCTAGCAGGCGTTCCAGTCCAATCCGGCGCGCGCCGCTCCGATGCTGACGTCTGAAGTGCTTCGGCTGATACCACGACGTCGGGATACCCATAACTACTCCCGCGTAGATGGTTAGTGCGTATAAGCCCGTAGCCAACTCAGATCAAATACCAAGATCTTGTTAAGCGTGTTAAGTATCCGCGAACGCCGAATAGGGCCAGGCCCACCTCTCACCCAGGTAGTCTCAACCTACCCTGTCGCTCCGCCACAAAGTAATAGTCGGGGGCCGTCGGGAACCCAGGCCCACCTCTACCGGGATGGAGCCACCTGTCCTTTCAGCCCCCTCATCAGAATCACTTGCGGGTACTCATCGAGCTAACCCGACTTTAGTCACCATCTGTAGTATGTATGTAATGTATAGTATATATCCGTGATCACCTCCCGAGTGATCACGGCCCAATAGTATAGCAAGGCAGACTGACAAGAATGTAGGGCCAATGATGATAAACTAGCATCCTATACTAAGTATTTAGGATTGCAGGTAAGGTATCAACAGATGTAGCAACAAAGTCAGGCTATGCATCAGAATAGGATTAACGGAAAGCAGTAACATGCTACACTACTCTAATGCAAGCAGTATAGAGGAGAATAGGCGATATCTGGTGATCAAGGGGGGGCTTGCCTGGTTGCTCAGACAAGGAGGGGTCGTCGGTGACGTAGTCGTCCACAGGGGCATCAGCATCGTCACGGGGGCTACCGGAGAGAAGAGGGGGGAGAAACAGTAAATACATAGCAAGCAAGTGCATAACAGGTCAACAAGCAGAGCTAGACGTGTTCTAACGCGGTATGAGGTGATACCGGTGAAGGGGGGAAACATCCGGGAAAGTATCCCCGGTGTTTTCTGTTATCGGACAAATGAACCGGAGGTGAAATGTTGCAGGTTCACTATGCTAGGGACGTGTGGCGGATGAACGGGCTGCGTACCCGAATCCGTCTCGTCGTTCTGAGCAACTTTTATGTTGAAAATAATTTAATCCGAGTTACGGATTAAAAGATATGATTTTCTAAAGATTTTAATAATTTCTGGAATTTAATTAATTATTTAATTTAATTCGAAAATGTATTTATGACATCAGCATGATGTCATGCTGACGTCAGCAGTCAATAGGGTTGACTGGGTCAACTGACATGTGGGGTCCGCATGTCATAGACTGAACAGGCTAATCAGGTTTTAATTAAGTTATCTAGTGATTAGATTAATTTAACCAGTATTAATTAAGTTAATTAATTCTTTAATTAATTAATTAATATTTTAATTATCATTATTTGTTTGCTAATTTCTTTTACATTTTCTGTTAAAGCGTTTTGTGCGCTGGGCCCCTCTGGTCAGTGGCACAGAGGCCCTAGCGGGTCGGGCCAACGGGCACCCGACCGCAGGCAGAGGCCATTGGCCCGATGCGGCTGGGCGCCGGCGGCCAAGGCGCCGACCAAGGGAGGCAGCGGAGGTGGCCGCGGGGAGAGCGGGGGCGGGCAGCTGCAGAAGCAGCAGCCGCAGTGGCTGCAGCAGTAGTAGGCAGCCACGACACGGGCACGCGCAGCCAGGGCGCTGGCGAGTACGGGGCTGCGGGAGCGGAAGTGCGAACGGGGAACGGCGTGGCTGGGCGTGGCCGCAATCGACAGCGGCGAGCTCGCGGACGACACGCGTGGAGAGAGGAGGAGAGACCGGGCCTCACTGCGATTCGTGGTGTCAAAGGCAGCGGGCTCGATGAAGGTCGAGGAAGTCCGACGAGGGAGAGGACGAGGCGGCGGCAGTCCGGCGACGATGGGCAAAGACGCAGTGGATGGCGTCGGCGTCGAGGCGCGTTGGGGCGGCGCGGGATCTAGCCCTCCTCGATCCAGTCGAGTGGGGGGCGCCTGGGAGGAGGAAGGGGGCAGCGTTCGACGGGGTGGAGGTAAGGCGAGGAAGCGGCGAGCGACGGCGTCGGGGTCGGCTCCGGGGCGACGACGGCGACGCAGGGGAGGACGACGGCGCTGGCGGACCAGCGAGGTGGCCTCCGGTGACGGGGTCGGGGCGGCCACCGATGGGGCGCGCGCGGAGCTCAGGGGAGACGACGCGGTGTACGAAGGAGAGGGAGGAGGCCGGGAGGTGCGGCGCCGGTGAGGTGGCGATGGCGACCGGCGACGGCGTCGATGTCCAGGGGTGGCGAGGTGTTGGCATCGAGGGGGGGTTTGTCCCCGATCCAGATCCGATCGGGAGGGAAGAGGGAGTGGCGACGGGGTGTGGGGAGGGGAATCGGGGTAGTGGGTAGTGGGCTAGGGTTTGCCCCAGGTGGGGGGTTAGTAGGAGGGAGTGGGTGGCCGGTTGGGCCGGCCAGACGACCTGGTGGCCTGCTGGGCCGAAGCCCAGCGAGGGAGGGGGTTCCTTTTACTTTCTTTTGTTTCTTTAGTGTTTTATTATTTTTATTTTCTATTTTATTTTAGATACACCTTAATTTTAGTTAGTAAAATATGATAACAACTCCTAAAATAATGTTTCAGGACCGCCCACTGACATAAAAGTTTTACCCCGAAATAAATTAGTTTAGAGTTTTATTAAATGAAAAGAGGCATTTACTTAATTGTTTTTGTTACCATTTAAATCAATTTGGAGTATTAAAGCATTATATAAAAGTATGATTTCTTCACCATAATTACCTATGCATTATCTGGCTCACTCCGAACATTTTACTTTTAATATTTGAAAACTTTTATTGTTTGCTTGGTGTTGAATTTGAATTCGAACAGTTTCGAACTAGCGCGAGATTAGCAACTACAATCTAGGTGACGTGGCAACACTAGCAGAGCATCACTGTAGCTTAAGTACCCGGGCGTCACACCACGAGACTAGAATATTGTCAGTTCAGGCATGCAAAGTTTGATCAAATAGGCCAGCCAACAGGATGACTTAGTAACCATGGATTTGAGTCCAATCGAGACAAAAGGTTCCACAATATACATGTTAAGCCTTCTATTTACATTATCGCATCACACTAGCTCTGTGCAGTGCTAAGCAGCGCTGACCTTTCTAGCAGGAATGGTGGGGTGCCTGTTCCTACAAGAGGGGCCAACGCTGGTGTCTCGCTCAATAACCTTGTGGGTTTCCCTGATTTGGAAGAGGGCTGCCTTTTAAGAGCAGGGGAGGAAAGGAGAGCTATAATTTGCTAATGGGGCTGGAGCACCTCATCGGCAGGGTTCGTGGAGAAGCTATATGGTGGTAGATTGCCGGTCTTCTCGGCCACACCATCGAATCTTATGGTCGAATGGCGCCCAATCTTCTTCATCTCGGCCTAGATGTCAAAAGGGAGGTAACACAACTCCGGCTTGGAGTCCATGATGTGCAGGTGGTGGCGTTTTAGAGGTCTCGACAACCCAATTAGTCTTCATCATTGAGGACAACGCAATTATTTCCATGTGGGAAGAATATTTGGACCTAATGGCATTTCTATTTCTTATTTATGGGTCCACCTTGTGAAGGCCATGGACTAGTCCGTAATTGTTTTCATCTTTCAGAATCCTTCCACCGTCAAACAAAAAATTATGCATTCTCTTGATAGATATCACTTGAAAATCAGTAGCCCAGAAATTTCTATGCAACTCATCTATTAGAACACAACTCATCTTCTAGAACTTGCAGCTGGAGAACCACGCTTTGAGGCCAGTGATTGTAACACGAAGATAATCGAACAAGAAAGGCGAAAAACACTTGCATTGAAACAACAGGTTCATATATCACGAAGCCTTGACAATAGATCATGCTAAACTACTACTGTATTACATTACCATATCACAGTTTCAGCAGACATGAAAATACAGCACAGAAATGGAATGGCAAAAAAAACTGAATCTCCATGGCATTCCAGGTCCACCCAACTAGCAAGATAAGTTACGGGCTATAAGAGATTAAAAACAAGAATATAACCATTCATGTACTGTCGTAAACAAATGGTGGTATACTGTGAAAATATTCACAAACAGAGAAATAACAGAGACCAGAATCCAGATATGAAAATATTCATAATAGTTTCAACATGACAGTCACATATCCATGATTCAGTACAGAACTACAAAAACACTGGCACAGTACTAAGTTGACTGAATAGCTAGCAGCATAAAGTCGGGTTCATGACTTCACTCAAGCACCAACAGCTTATCACAACTTACCAGATTACTGTTGCTCATATTCAAGATCTCACTCCACTATCATCATCAGAAAGGTGGACAACTGTGAGGCTCCGATACACAAGACCATTAATGCTCATCTGCCATTGACTCCGAGAACAAAGGAACATATGAAAGATAAGGGCGCCTAGAAATCCTTCCAAGATCACATATAAATTTCAGCTCCTTAGAATCAATTTCATATGAAAATAATTTCAACAGTAGCCTGTCCCCCGATAATGTAGATTTAGATTCTACGGTTATGAATATCACATCGTCTTCTGGGTGGACTGAGATAACACCGTAACGTCCCCTAGATCTTGAACCGAACAGTTGCAGGTAGCTAATATTGTGCTTCAAGGTCCAATAATCTTCAATGCTAGAATCTTCAAGGACCCAGATTGATGCTTCAGCAGCACCATAATATGCGACATACAATTGTCCTTGTGAAACATAAACATCATGACGACCACAAGCATCATGTAAAGTAGGAGCAGGAATGAAACGACAGTTTCCCTCCACGTCAACAGCTGCAACCAAATCATTATCAGAACATAAATACAACACCCCGCTGAGAAATGTGCCAGCTGAGAAGTTGCATATCTCAAATGGATCATTCCAATCAATTTGATGTGTCCAAGCTCCAGCTTTGGACGAGTAGATCCCCACCTCTTTGATGTTATAATCAAACTTCACATTCGCATTCAAAGCTGCGGCAGGTGCCAACTTCACATGGAAATGGGAGGAGATGGCCGGGTCGAATCCCAAGCGAGCATACAAGTCCGAGGACCATTTGTTGGCTGGGACAATTACCCATTTCTCAGTGGCAGGATTGCACACCACGTAATCCGGTGTCTCAGGATAAGGCTTGGAACATCGACAGAGCAGGAGGCCGTTGCAGCAGTCCAACAAGTCAATCTTCTTGTATTTGGGCAGGAATGAGAGGGAGGCATCAATAGGGCACCAGTTCCCTGAGAGGCTTCGGTATCCATGAGAATCATATTGACAGCGGTCCATGTCGTAGGTTCTGTAGAAGAAGCCTGCGAGGGTAGATCGGGGAAGCTTCTCCCGGTGGTCCGGGTGGGATGAGGTCCCGCCAGCGCGTGGAGACGCACTTGCAGCAGCGGGTGGACTTGTACGGCACGCGCGAGATGATATCCACCAGGACGTCGCCGGGGAGCTTGGCCGTCGGATCGCTCATGAGGGCCGTCTCCATGGATCCCGTCGTCATCTCCATGGATCCCATGAGGGCGGCTAATCTGCAGATCGGGGCGGAGGAAAGGTTAGAGATGCATCATACTAGCAGTGAGGTGGGCGTGAGGGAAGAGAGGACTCACCAGATGCGTAGAGCGCCGGCACCGGGTACCCCCATCCGCGCCGCAAGTATTGCGGCGAGCCAGCGAGGGTTTGGTTTGGGTGCGCGGCGGCGAGATGGATGCGGCGGAAGTTCAGGAAGGACGGGCAGGAGCAATTATATGGCCTCTTTTATATGAGTTATATGGGCTTTTCACTGGGCCGTGTGAGTCGAAACACTTAGGCCCCGTTGGAAGCTCTAGCCAGCTTCGCAAAATCACGCCGAGAAGCCAGCCCGAACGGTTTTTCTCCAGGAAGCACGCTCCGTGGAGACGAGGAATCCAGCGTGTAAATTTTTCGGAGAAGAAAAGCGGCCCCGGCCCAGCTTCGCAAAGGGTAATGTTTCGAGACGGTGCGCCGGCGAAGCATTGCGCCGGACGCTCATGTGCTTAACGCGTGTCGCGGGTCCCACGCGCCGCTCGAGCCCTCCCCACCTTATCCTTCCATGCAAAGCTGCTCCAGGGCCACTCGTTTCTATTCAGATGCATCCCTCCTCTGCTTTTCTTCTCCCCAAATCTAGCAGCCCACTCAATCTCTATCCCATACACATCCCTCCTCTTGCTTTTCTTCTCCTCAAATCCATGGCACCTCGTACTGCATCGAGGAGACGGGCGGGTGCTGGAGGGGCGCCGCTGCTGTGCTACCGCAGATCGATGGAGGCGCCGTGCCGTGCGGCGTGCTGCTGCAAGCCTGCACCATGGTCGGTCGATGCCATGGTGGAATGAGCCACCGTCGATTTTGCTGCGCGCGGCGGCAAGGAGCTGCAACCCCCTGTTGGGTGTAGCCGCAAGCCCGTTGTTGGTTTTAAGCTGCATTCGACGGCGTCACACTGACAGGAAAGCTACAACCGGCTACCACAGGAGCTACAGCCATCGGTGGCAGAGCTGCAACCGGCTGCTAGAGAAGTTGCCGCCGCGGGGGGCCACTGGTGCTGGAACCGGCTCCCCGTTTTGCTGGAAGCGTATGCCAAGATGTTGGAACCGGCGCCCAGATTTGCTACAACCATGACAATGAAGTGTGGCCGGCGACGATAACGCCGTGTTTTTTGCTGCAACCGGCAATAGGAAAGCTACAACCGGCACCCAAATTTGCTACAACTAGCTACCACCATGTCTTTTGATTTTTTTGCCGGATCCATCTTTTTCTTACTTTGGAAACACTCCAAATTTGTTACCACCGTCTTTGTTTTTTTTCTTTCACTGTATTTGAGTTTTGCTACCATCCCTTTTTTGGCTGGAACCAGCGATTTTTTTGGTTGGAACCGATGTTTTGTTTGCTACTACCCTCATCTGCAAACGGCCACAACGACGACTTTCACTGAAAAGCTGCAATCGGAGGTCGATTTTGTTGGATCTGACACAACATTTTTCTGCATTCGGCGGACTAGCACCGGTGTTGCAACCGGCTCTTGGAACTGCGGCTGTTCGGGATCGAGAATGGCGAGCAGCGACGAGCTGGCGAGGTCATCAGCGCTGGGGGTCGTCGGGAAGGGGCGAGGAGATTCTCTCGTGCGCGCTGTTTTGGTTGGGCTCTGGTGCGCTAGAGAAAGAAAAGAATCGAGAGGATGGAGCAAGACGACACAGGTGACAGATCTGACGACTGCCCACAAATATTCGTGGGGCTACGGTGCGACCGGCCCAAATTTGGGCCGGTGCGCCGGCGCCTATCAGTGCCCCTTCGCAAATACCAGAAGTTGGAGTTCGTCGAAATTACGGCAGGAATGCCACCGCGAAGTGCCCTTGACGAAACGTTTCAGAGAAGCCCAGCCCGACGAGCGCACTCCTCTACTTTCGCTCGTACAGAAACAACAATGCTCCTCTGCTCTCGCAACCCTATCTTGCAAACCTAGCTTGCCGCCACCCCGTCGCCGGCTGGCCGCCGCGCCGCCGCCAGTCTTCCGCCGCCGCCCCTCGCATCTCTGCCTCGTCTCGCAGATCCTCGTCCATCGCCGCTTCCAGCAGCCGTCCGAAGTCCTCGCGCAGTCCATCTCCCCCATCTGCCGGCACTCCGTCCGTTCGTCGCCGCCGGTAGCTGCAGGAACTACTCGTCGACGGGCCTGCCGCTAGATCCACGCCAGAGAATCCCTTCCCCCAGCTCAAGGTGAGCAGCCCCCTCCTCTTCCTGTACCACCGATTTGGCTAGTTTATAGTCTGGAGCTGCTCTCTGCTGCCGAACGAATCGCTGCTCCCGTCGAAAGCTGGCGGCGGCTAGCTTCTCGGGAAGCTGGCTATTCCCTGAAGCTAGAGAAGATCCAAACGGGCCCTTACTCTCACTAAAAGAGTGCCACTAAAAAACTAAAAAAACTAAAAAAAGTGCCACTAAAAAAAGCATAAAAAAGTGTTTCACTAAAAAAGTACCACTGGAAAACCCTAAAAAAGTGTTTTTAAAAAAGTATTATCCCTCAAAAAACTTTTAAAAAGTCCCAAAAATAATAAAAAAGTGCTAGTTGCCTAAAAAACTAAAAATATAGAAGATGAACTTTTTTAAATACTCATAAGCATGTTTATCATTTAGGGATGCAAGCGGTGTCCCGCATATCCCGCAAAACCAGCAATTTAGTTCACCACTGGCTGGAAAATTAACGCTAACTAGCGATTGATATATAAGGCCACAAACTCGTCCCGTCCATATCCCTAGTATCATTGCATTAAAAAGAAGCGGCAAAAAAAGCCGAAAACCACGCCTTTAGGCCATTATACAACACTAACACGTGGATTGGCAGTCATATCCACCGCGCACACAAATTACAAGCGCTACGCAAAATGCTACACATAGACCAACCTCATGCTAATGGTGATGGGACAAGCAACAGAGTAACCAAGCCGCGTCACAACCAATGCAGAAGACGTCTACAACATGACCAAGACTCGAGGACATCCAGACCAACGTACCACCCCTATTGCGCCAAGAGAGACCCAACAAATGGATGGCAGGGCCTGGGCTGACCTAGAGAAGGCATCGTTGAGAGAGCACCGATGATGATGTACATTGCGAACCAGAGGCTCACACCCGGAGTAGTAGCCGACACCAACTCAAAATCGCACCACTGGGACTCCTAGAGCAAGCAAGACGACGCATCCAAGAATGAAACGATGCCATGAGGCCGCCGCCATCGCCTGGTCCGGATGCTGGACCGGGTTTCTCCCGACCACTGTTAGTCTCGGCCATCACGAAGCAGGGATATCACCCAACCCACGATCATTGAACCCAAAGTCATGGGAGCTGCTCAAGCAGGCCAACCACCACATGTGCAGGAGTCGCATCTCGAAGCACATCATTCGCCACCAGCAAACCAACAAGGAACAGAGCAACGCAACCCCAACAAGATCAAGCCCCAACCACCACCACTACGCTCGGAGGACGCCACCGTCAGAGTTGGGCACCGGGGCCCAAATCAATCGCTCCACCGCTCACCATGGCCGACAAAAAACTTTGCCATTACCTCGAACGAAGTATTTTTGTTACGAGTGATACCTTTGAAGAGACGGACAATCTTATGTTAACACCGACCTTTCTTTTTGCGGGTTATATGAAACGAGCATGCTGTGGCATGGTTTTTCATTTACGGGCTTTCTTGGTTTGTCATGATGCTCAGCGTCAGTTTTCTCTATTTTGAAAATTTTGTCTCTAACAGCATCGTTGAAAAAAAAACAGCCTATTTCACGCGTGACAGCGCTCCAACAGAAGCTGTAAAATAGAATGCACACAAAAACGAAGTTGTAAGAGCATCTCCAACAACCGTCCAATGCGCCACGCGCTAAAAACTACTTTACCGCGCGCGCTTCGCCTGGTTTTGCGCGGCCTGTAGCGCTGGCTCCAACAGCCGCGCTAAAATGCAGCGCACGCCGCTCCAGCAGCGCACAAAAAATGCAACGCACGCGACTCGCCGGGGCATTGCATATATTGCATTTTGGACACAAATAGATTTCAAACATTCAAAATGCAATGAACATGACATATAAATTTCACACAAACAAGTTGATAAATAAAAATTCATGCCCACAAGTTCAAAATCATGCCCACAAGTTCATCCAACCAAGTTCTACCTTTGGGGCATATCGTCGAACACGTTGTGCGCGTCGGCGGCCGGCTCAACGAGTGAGCTCGCCGGTGCTTCGGTAGCCGCCGCGCCCGTCACACGCCCTGCAAGCTTCTTTCTCCTCGCCTTCGAGGTGCCGGAGACGTCCGCCGCCTTGTTCTTCTTCACGGATGTCTTTTCGGCTGCGCCACATTGGGGAGCTTCGAAGGGGCGGTGGCGGCACGGGACGGCGCCGGCGTGACGCCAACCGCCGACGTGGTCATCCGCGGCGGCACGAAGAGGTCACGCGCGAGGCCGATGCTCGGAGGAGTCCGGCGGTGGTGAGGTCAACGCTCCCCGCACTAGGGTATCCGGCGGCGGCGGCTGCGGCGGCGGGGGAGGGGGGGGGTCGCGGCTGTAGGATGGGTTGAGCGGTGTGCCGGCGCGTGCGTCCATCGGGTCAAGTTCGCCGGCGCCGGCGCGCGCGGGGCGAAGGTTGCGGGGAGGAGAGAGTGCGGCGCGAGCGCACGTGTGTGCCGCGCGCGGAAGCCGGTGCCCCAAATACACAGCGCGAGTTGGCGTTTCGGACCGCGCGCCCAACTACATATGCCGCGGGCGCGGTTATTGCGCGCCCGCTGGAGCTTGT